AAAAAAAAAAAAAAATGAGGCTGAACACATTTTTTATATTTATCATTTTTGTTTTTTAAATAAATTACCTATTTCTATTCTTTTACCCACTTTTCTCTTTTATTTTATTTTCCTTATTCTCTAGAGATATTCTTTATATAATAAACTTCCTGTTTTCATATGAGGATTATATTTCCCTAGTTTGTCATTTGCCTTTTCATTTGGAATATGGGTTTATTTTGCTTTCATTTAATATGACCAACATAAATAAGAAGAGAAAGCTTGAATAACTATAATTAGAAATGAGAAAGCCAAATAACTAATTTTTAAAAAATTAAAAGAATCACAGGAAAGCACTTTGCAAAACTTTCTATAAATACATGTGAAAATATGAATGAAATGTATATGGCTTTTGGATAATATATAAACGTTTTACATTTTACTATTCACATCTTCTCATGCTCTTCTTTGCATTTTATTATTTCATGTCTTTCTTAGGAAATTCCCCATACTTATCTATACTTTGATTTCACTTTTTTATGATTTATTATATTAGTTATTTGAAAATAATTTCAATGTTGGGAGAACATTAAAAATATCGTGTAAAGATATATGTGATTTGATTTGCCAATTGTCGCAATACCATTTATTTTTGATGTTAGATATGAATTAGAGATCTAAGTTAAATTTGTTGTTTTAATGCTAGATCATTTATCCAAAACACCACTAACTAAATAATCTATTGTATCTCTATGGTATAAAATGACAATTCTATCATATGCATATTTATATTATAAATACTCTTTGTTTCTGAACTTTTATTCCCTTTATTATGTTTTCATTTTTTCAGCCAGAGCTTCTGGGGTGCCCCAAGCTCCTATCACCGTGGTGCCTTTGTGTACATCATCCCTTGGGCTGCATTTCCTCCAAACTCGCCCTACCCTACTTCCAGCAAACTACTTCACAATCTTCGCATCTCCTTTCAAACACCAACTCCGCATTGAGCTGTCCCTGCCAATCCTACACTTACTAGCGCCTCAGGTGTTCACTTCCCAATCTTCACCCTTCACTTGTCCGCATCACCATGAAGGCTCTGTGGCAGTGTAATTGGGGGAAGCTACCGGAAGTACAGGAAGCTTCTGTGGCTGTATCTCTTGAGTACAGGAAATGTTGCCTTTAATTTCTAGATTCCAAAGCCAACTCACAATGGACGCTTTGTATATGTGGGGCTGAGGAGACAATGCAAGCCTCACTTATCCACTGCACCAATCACAGGACAGAGGTGTGGCATCACTCTGTCTCTCCACACACACACCTGATATGAAAATTTCTGGCTATGGTAGACCCTCCATCAATATATGTGAAAGGAAAGAAGGAAGGGAAAAGCAATAGGTGGGAGAGAAGAAAGGCAGACAGGGAGGGAAGAGAGAGGAAGGAAGGCATTTTATTGTCAGGCAGTCTCTCCTGAAAGAGCTGTGTATGAATAAAGATTTAGCTGTTCTGTCACCAGTTAAATCAGGCTCCCAGGACTTGAAAGCATAATGACTGGCAGTAAAGGCCATACATTGTTTTTCTGGGTCAACACAACTCCTGTTGTTCCAAAATTCACTTGTTTTAACTGTCTAACTCTTGCTGGGGAGGTTATTAGCCCTGGTGTAATTGCATTACTTTAGCTGTGATTATTTTCTTGCTACTTAATTGATTTCTGATTCTTTTATCATTTTTATCTCTGTGAGATAAAGGTAGAGGCATAAAATATCCATGGCCAACAACTGCCAAGAAATAGTGAAAAATAGCACATTTGTCATTGAACACTGATTCGCGTTGTATGAAAAAAAAAATCCATTTATTTTGTGTGAAGAATGGGGA